TGGTGGACTCCCCCATCCTGTAGGTCAGCACTACTCACCAAGTTCGTAGAGAACGAGGGGAGTTAGAGACAAGACAGGGTGCCAGAGGGAGCCGCCGAACACGGGAGGACCGTGGAGAAGCGAGCCAGGACAGGACCCCCAGAGGGGTCAGCCAGGGAAACCGCAACCGGCCGACTAAGCGGCGTAAGTGTGGTGCGGTCCCGAAAGAAAGAGCGAGACGCTCCAGAGTCAAGAGTGAAGGTGTGGGAGGCCGAAGCTGACGCAGTACCTGAGAGCGCAGACGCACTAGTACCTGAGAGACCAGTCTCACGAGTACCTAAGAGTACAGACGCACTGGCACCTAGAGCAGAAGCCTCAACGGCACCTGGAGCAGCAGTACCAATGCCCGGGTCGGGCGGGAAACACCGGTAACAGTCACCCTCCTCACTAGTGGTCACAGCATACATGGCAGCAAGGATAGCATCAAAATCAAGATCAAAGATAGCTACACCAGCCCTAGACAGCTCTCCCCAGCGGGGGATCTCCGCGGCCTCCGGGAACTGCTGACGCCAAGCGTCTGTCACGCGGCCAAAGCAGCGCTGAGCGGGGTGGGCACCCCCACACTGCTCTCCAGTGCGGTCGCCAGTGCGGAGAACGTAGGTGCAGGGACCAAAACCCCCACCGCGCTGACGCTGCGTGTACCACTCACGGAGCTGCTGAGGGGTGAGGACGTTGCGAGAACGTTGCTGCTGCTGCTGCTGCTGCTGTTGGCGCGGACCGCCACCAGTGCCGCTCCGCTGCGTAGCCCCACTCCGACCACCTCCACCTCCGCCACCCCCGCCTCCGCCTCCACCCCCCCCCCGCCTCCACCTCCACCGCCGCCACCTCCGCCACCTCCGCTACCACCGCCACCGCCGCCGCCACTCCCGCCGCCACCGCTGCCACTAGCACCCCCACCCCCACTACCACCTCCACCGCCACCCCCACTCCCTCCGCCGCCTCCACCTCCACCGCCACCGCCCCCACTGGCCCCACCCGCTCCCTTGCCCCCCTTGCCCTTGCCAGAGCGGCGTCTCCCGCTAGGGGCAGACGCCGCACCGACCGACTCAAGACCAACGAGGTCGGCCGCAGCGGCAGAGGCAACAGAGGGCAGGAGAGGGGAAGGAGAACACCCCTCAAAGGCTGCTACTGGGCCGCGTTTAGGGGTAGCGGGGCCGCGACTGGGTGGCGGGGCCGCGACGGGACGGCGGGGCCGCTAGCGAGGGCAGCGGGTGGGCCGCTAAGGTAGGGCGGCGGCCGGGCCGCGAGTAGGAACAGGGCGACTCGAAGGGTCGCTAAAAAAAAGGCGCGCGCCTCGGGCGCGCTTCGGTGGGCCCTAAAGAACAGTCCCTAGGATGGGACCTGCTCTGATTCGATGTGAAGAAAGCAACGTGAATCGGATTGACTACGAATGAGGTGAGTACAAATAGGAAACCCTAATTGGGTTGTACCCCCTATGGGATACCCCACTATAGCCTACACAAACAAGTAAGCTAAAATGTTCTGACACCGCCTGGTGATCATCAGCGCTTCTGTACTATGCTAGGTCTTGTACCTACTTGGCCTCACTTGCTCACTTCTTAACCTTGCTTGTACTGTGATCTTTCTATACCTGCACTTGCTTGATTACCTTCATATATGATATTGCATGTGAACTGGCCTTTTGGCCTTGCTCTTGTGCTCGGATTGTGTGGTGACGTTGTGATCCACCTTGAGCTTGCTTTGCTTTGCTTGACTGGTCTTGTGACCTCTTGTTCTCCCCCACTTTGCCTATGGGGGTGTGTCAAACTCATATGCTATCGTCTGTGTAGGCTGTAGTGGGGTAGACAATATGGGGTACAACACTTCTAGGTTTTCCTACTTGTACCCACCTGCTTGCTAGTTCATTCGTTTCCTCATTTCTTCACACAGAGGGCATCCGCCAGACGTTCACGCTTCCGGCCTCTACACAGCAAAATGGGATTGCTGAGCGCCGCATTGGCATGGTCATGGACGTCGCTCGTACGTCCATGATCCATGCGGCTGCTCCCCATTTTCTGTGGCCGTTCGCGGTTCAGTACGCGGTGCATCAGATCAACCTCCAGCCCCGGGTCTCCATGCCGGAGACTACACCTACTTTGGGGTGGGCGCGGAAGGTTGGCAATGCATCTGCGTTCCGTGTTTGGGGATCTCGAGCTTTCGTCCGCGACTTGTCTGCGGACAAGCTGTTCCCTGCGTCTTCTTTGGCTTCCCCCTTGACGCGCCTGGTTGGCAGTTTTACCACCCCACCTCGCGCCGTGTTCTGTCCTCTCAGGTCATCACGTTTGACGAGTCGGCTCCTTACTACCGTCTCTTCCCCTATCGCACTGCCCCCCTCCCCCCCCCCGCCGCTCTTCCTCGCGCCAGGTCCTCCCCCGGTAGACCCCCTTCCCCCTCAGGGTCCTGCCCCGTCAGGTGTGTCCCAGGTAGACGCAGTCGAGCCTGTCGAGGTAGCTGTTGACTCTGGTGCTGCTAGGGGTGCTGAGCCTGCGGGTGGCGGGTCTGGGGGTGCTGAGCCTGAGCGTGCGGAGCCCGGGGGTGCTGATTTTGGGGTTGCTGAGCTTGGGGTGCTGAGTCTCAGGGTGTTGAGCCTGGGGTTGCTGAGTCTGGGGGTTCGGAGCCTGAGGGTGCTGAGCCTGCGCGTGTGGAGTCTGGAGGTGCTGCGCCTGGAGGTCCTTCGAGTGCTTCATGCCGGTGGGAGCCACTCTCTCCACAGCAGCTGCACGAGTGGTTTGCTCACCGCTGGAGGTGTGCTGCTGGAGCTGGTGGTGCTACGGGCGCTGGAGGTCCTGCTGCTGCTGGAGCTGCTGGGGGTTCTGGAGCCACTGGTCCCGGAGGTGCTCGTACTTGAGGTACTGGAGCTGCTGGGCCTGGTGGTGCTGCTGCTGGGGTTGGAGCTGCGGCAGGTGCTGGAGCTGGCGGTACCACTGGACCCGGTGCTGCTGGAGGTGCTGGCCCTGGCGCTGCAGGAGCTGCTGGAGGTGCTGGAGCTGGAGGTGCTGCTGGAGACCGGTGCTCCTGGGGGTGCTGGTGTAGGCGCTACTGGAGCTGTTGGAGTTGCTGCTGGAGCTGGTGGTGCTGCTGGAGTTGGAGCTGATGCTGGGGGTGCTGGTGCTGTCCCTGCTGGTTCTGGAGGCGCTGCGCGGCCGCGGCCGTACTTCGTTCCGCTCCTTCACCAGGTTCTTGGTCTCCCGCCTTCTTTTGGTCCTGCTCCTTCCTTAGAGTGTCCACAATCTATCTAGTCCGAGTCATAGTTACAGCCTGCCTCCCCACTGCCTGCTCCTTCTCCTTACAATGGTCCGACCAGAGGTCTTACGGAGCAACGTGAGCCTGTGTCTCGTCTTGCATTGCCTGTTCGTGCTGCTCGCACTAGTCGTCATGGTTCGCGTCAGTGTCCTCCTCCTGTCCCTGGCACGCACCAGATGGCTCTGCGTCCTTCCACTGCTCCGCGGCGTGTCCCTCTGCCGTCTCCTCCTACGTCCTCTCTTCCTGCCCTTGCTAACCCTGCGTCTGACTCTCTTCGTGTTGCTAGTCCTACTGTCACGCATCTCCTGGCCACTATTGTCACTGACCCTTCCTTTGAGTCCACTACTGCGTCTGCCTTAGTTGCTGAGTCTGAGTCTGTCTGTCCTCCGTCCGTCAGGGGTGAGTGTGCTCTTAGCACGGACGTCCTTGAGGACAAGCAGGAGGAGTTCCAGTCTTTTGCTGCTGCTTTACCTCATCTCGTGTCCATGCTGCTTGCCCTTGAGGGAGACCCGGACGCACCAGACATCCCGACCCCGCGCTCTGTCAGAATCGAAACCACTAGACCATTGGGATAAAAGGGCTTGTTAAGTATTGGATCAGTGCGCCCATAACTTCCCAGGATAACGAGCCTGTAACCCTATCCTAGGATCGATCGGAGATCACCAGTAGACCTGTGACACCCCCCCCCCCCCCGCACTGGGATGCCCGAAGTGCAGACACTGGGATTCTAACCCAAGACCTTCGCTCTGATACCATGTCTGAATCCCAGCCACTAACCACTAGGATAAAAGGGCTTGTTTGTGTAGCGGGTGAGTGCGCCAATAACCCCCCAGGCCAACGTGCATGTAACCCTTTCCTAGAATCAATCGGGGATCACCAGTGGACCTCTGACACCCCCCCGCACTGGGATGCCCGAAGTGCACACATTGGGATTCGTACCCGAAACCTTCGCTCTGATAACATGTCAGAATCCCAGCCACTAATCACCGAGATAAAAGGGCTTGTTTGTGTAGCGGGTGAGTGAGCCCATAACCCCCCAGACCAACGTGCCTGTAACCCTTCCCTATGATCGATCGGGGATCACCAGTGGACCTCTGACACCCCCCCGTACTGGGATGCCCAAAGTGCACACACTGGGATTCGAACCCGAGACCTTCGCTCTGATACCATGTTACGATTGTGTTACAATAGATTTATATCTATTTAGTATAATCTGCCTGTAGTGTAGCTATTGTGTAATTCCCTTGTATAGTGGTGCACCTCTTTCACCTTTGTTAGGTTGCTATATGTTCTCGTGTGCTATAGTGAACCTCCAACCATTCTTCGATTCTCCTTGGCACAAACTACTCGACACCCGCTAGGCCTAGGCTAATATGCCTAGGCCCTCCTTAAACCCGGTTACCAGTTAAGACACTATCGTAACATGGTATAGAGCTAGGTCCGATTTAGGACCGTTCGTTTTACATGGGCCCACCACTAGCCCTCGTCGTGGCGCATCCCGTCGCGCAGCCCGTAGGGCGCATCGTGAGCGCCACGACGATAAGCTCGTCGCGCTGCCCTGCTGCAGCTCATCGCCCCGCTCTACCCGCTGCTGCAGCTCGTCGCCCGTCTCGTCACGCTGCCGCCCATCACTTGCCTCGTCGACCGTCGCCCGTCCCGTTGCGCTGCCGCTCGTCACGTCACGTCCCGTCACCTGCCTCGTCGATTGACACCCGCCCATGTCTCACTGCAGCCCGTCGCCCGTCCCGTCGCACTGCCGCCTGTCGCCAGATCCCCGCCACCCGTACGCACTCCGCTGCCCGTCGCCAGGTCCCCGCCCGCCCTCCCATCGACTTTGCAACTGCTGTGAAGGGAGAGGCGGGAGTGGAGAGAGTGGTGGGAGTGGCGGGAGAAGCTGCTGCTACGCCATTGCACGCGCCAGAACGTCCGCGACCCGCACCTTGCACCCCGCCCGTCGCCCGTACGCCACCCGCACCCCGCACCCCACTCGCCGCCCGTACGCCACCCGCACCCCGCACCCCGCCCGTCGCCTGTACGCCATCCGCACCACGCACGACGTCCGTGCCCCCGTCCGCGAGACCCGTCCGAACCCCATATATGCACCCAGACCGCCGTTCTGCCCCAGATCCTGCCCCCCCCCACCGACAACTGCCACCCCACCCCCATCTCCGGTTCCGTATCCAGCGAGAAGGGGAGGAGGTGTGGTGTTGGCCCGGAGGGGACGGCTGGGGGAGGGGGAGTGGCGGGGTTGGCGGCTCATGTAAGGGGGAGGTTGAGGGGGTGGGTGATCCATCTGCAGCTACTGCCGCCACACCTCCCCCTCTCTCTCTCCGCCGCTGCTGCTGCTGTGGGGGGGGGGGGAGGGTTCAAGGGGTGTGGGTGGTGAAATTTCAACTACAGCATCATCCGTCTCCTCCTCCTCTCATCCCTTGCTGCCCATGCCTTGCTGTCCACCCGTGCTTCCGCCCGTGTCTCCCGTACCGTCGCCCGTGTTCCCCGTACTTGCCCCGTGTCCGTGCCCATGCCCGTGCTGTCCGCTCGTGTTCCACGTGCCCGTGCTGTCCGTACCCGGTTGTGCCCCACCAGTCTCACCCGTGCTGTCCGTACCCGGTGCCCCCCATGTTCCTGTGCTGCCCCCCGTGTTCCCGTGCTGCCCCGCTCTCCCTGTGCTGCCCCGTTCTGCCTATGTTGTGCCCGTTCCCGTGCCGTGTTGCCCCGTTCAGCCCTTATCCTGCCCCGTTCTTCCTGTGCAGCCCCGTTGTCCCCGTGTTGCTCCGTTCTGCCCGTCCGTCCAGCCCGTGTCCTGCCCTGTTCAGCCCGTGTTCTGCCTTCTGCCCGTGTTGCCCCGTTCAGCCCGTGTCCTGCCCCGTTCTGCCCGTGTTGCCCCATTCAGCCCGCGTCCTGCCCCGTTCTGCCCGTTTGTGCCCTACCCGTGCTGTCCGTACCCATTTGTGCCCCACCCGTGCTATCAGTTCTCGCTCGTGCCCCACCCGGTCTGTGCTGCCCGATCTCGTGCTGCCCGTCACCCCCGTGCGGCCCGTCCCGTACAGCACCTAGTTGCTACCCGAGCGCACTACCCGTACCCGTGCTCCTCGCACACCGTGCACCAGTTGTGGGGCGTTCAACCGCAGCCAGGCACCTGTTCCACCGCGGTGGTTCAGATGCTGCTTGGTGGTTGCTGCTTGTCAACTTCAGAGGGGGCCCCTTGCTGGTGTTCCCCCGCCCTGTAATGGGGTTTTACAGGTGTACCCCTTAACTGGGTCGTTTCCTCCTGGTACCCAGTGGAGCCTCCGGCGGCTAGTCTACGGTCTCCGCCAGGCGCCACGTGAGTGGCACGACACACTGAGGACTACGCTTGCGGCTCTTGGGTTTGCTCCTTCCACTGCTAACCCGTCGCTGTTTCTCCGCACCGACACTACTCTGCCGCCGTTCTACATCCTCGTGTACGTCGACGACTTGGTCTTTGCTACTGCTGACACTGCTGGACTAGCCCACGTGAAGTCGAAGCTGCAGAAGATACACACGTGCACAGACTTGGGTGAGCTGCACAGCTATCTTGGCTTGCAGATCACCCGCGACAGAGCACGGCGCACCATTACCTTGACTTAGTCACACATGGAGCAGCTGGTCCTTCAGCGCTTCGACTTCACGTACTCCTCGCCTCAGGCCACTCCTCTGTCTACTCGCCACTCGCTCTTAGCTCTGCCTTCGGATGAGTCCGTAGAGCCGAGTGGCTCGTACCCAGAGCTAGTGGGCTGCCTCATGTACCTGATGACCTGCACTTGACCTGACCTAGCATACCCTCTGAACATCTTCGCACGCTATGTTGCTCCTGGAGACACCGACCATAGCACATGGATGCAGCTAAGAGGGTGTTGCGCTACTTGTGCAGTACGTCGGGCATGGGGCTCGTGCTTGGAGGATGAGCTCGAGTTGTCCTCACTGGTCACGCAGACGCTTCTTGGGTTGACGACTTGGCTACGTAGCGGTCGTCACAGGGCTACACCTTCAGCCTTGGTTCCGGCTCTGTTTCGTGGCGCTCTACCCGCTCGTCTTCTGTTCTCAGCTCCAGTTGTGAAGCGGATATCTACGTTGGGGTCATGGCTGCACAGGAGTTACGCTGGCTCACCTACCTGCTGACTGACCTAGGAGAGCCGCCTCGTTCTCCTCCAGTTTTGTACGTCGACAACAAGGCCATGCTGGCCTTGTGTCATGAGCACAGACTGGAGCACAGAACGAAGCACATTGCTTTGCGCTACTTCCTTGCTCGAGAGTTGCAGCAGCATGGTCAGCTAAGTCTTGCTTACGTGGCCACTCGGGCCAACATTGCCAAGGCACTTCAGCATTGTGATCATCAGCGCTTTTGTACTATGCTAGGTCTTGTGCCTACTTGGCCTCACTTGCTCCCCTCTTGACTTTGCGTGTACTGTGATCTATATATACCAACACTTGCATGCTTACCCTAGCTAGATTGAGATCACTGTCTTGCTTGTTCACCTTGATATATAATTCTGCATGTGAACTGGCCTTGTGGCCTTGTGCTTGTGCTCAGAATGCGTGGTGACGTCATGATCCACCATAAGCTTGCCTTGCTTTGCTTGACTGGTCTTGTGACCTCTTGTTCTCCCCCACTTTGCCTATGGGGGTGTGTCAAACATATATGATATAGCCTGTGTAGGCTGTAGTGGGGTAGACATTATGGGGTACAGATTTTCTTGGTTTTCTTGGTTTCTGTCGGTGCGCAGAAACAGGTGGCTCCACTGGGTACGAGGAGGAAACGACCCAGTGAAGCCAGGTGGGCGGCGCAGCCAGATCTCCTCGTGCAGGCTGCCCTGCAGGAAAGCTGTGCTGAATTCAAGAGAGTGAAGCTCGTAGTCGCGCTGAGCGGCTATGTGCAGCAGCACCCGAAGAGTGGTCATCTTTGGGGTGGGAGAGAAGGTCTGAAAGTAGTCAACTCCCTGCCGCTGATTGAAGCCTCGAGCCACGTAACGCGCCTTGAAGACTGGCGGAGAGCCCAGCGGCCGCTTCACCCTGAAAATCCACATGCCACTGGCGATGTTCACCCCAGGTGGGGGAACCTCGTCGACGTTGGTGAGTGTGGACTTCGAGGAAGCCATCTCTGCGTCCATGGCCGACTGCCACTGAGAGGAGTAGGGACCCTCGATCGCCTCAGCGTACGATCGAGGAGTCGGGATGTCTGGTGCATCCGGGTCTCCCTCAGGGGCAATCAGCGTGGACACGAGATGAGGCAAAGCAGCAGCAAAACACTGGAACTCCTCCTGCCTGTCCTCAAGGACGTCCGTGCTAAGAGCACACTTACACCCGACGGACGGAGGACAGACAGACTCAGACTCAGCAACAAGACTAGCAGCGTAGTCCTGATGACAACGAGCAGCAAAGTCGACAAGCTCAGCAACTAGAGCCGACGCGGGAGTGGACTCAAAGGAAGGGTCAGTGACAACAGTAGCCAGGAGACGTGTGACAAAAGGACTGGCAGCACGAAGAGAGTCGGACTCCGGGTCAGCAAGAGTAGGAAGAGAGGACTCTGGAGGAGACGGCAACGGGACACGCAGAGGAGCAGTGGAAGGATGCAGTGCCATCTGGTGTGTGCTTGGGACCGCAGGAGGACGCGGACGCGAAGTACGACCACTAGTGCGAGCAGCACGAACAGGCGACTTAGGACGAGACGCAGGCTCACGACGCTCAGCAAGACCTCCAGTAGGACCAGTGTAGGGAGAAGGAGCAGGTAGGGGGGAGGCGGGCTGGAACTGTGACTACGACAGGACAGGCGGTGGACACGCAAAGGGAGGGGCAGGACCAGTAGAAGGCGGCAAACCAAGATCCTGCTCAAGGAGCGGAACGAAGTATGGCTGCGGCCGCACAGCGCCTCCAGAACCAGCAGGGACAGCACCAGCACCCCCAGCGGCAGCACCAGTGCCAGCAGCACCTCCAGCTACAACAGCGCCAGCTCCAGCACCCTCAAACGCACCAGCGCCAGCAGAAACACCAATGCCAACACCCCCAGCAGCTCCAGCTCCAGCAGCTCCAGCAGCACCAACTCCAACAGGACCGGCAGCTCCACCACCGCCAGCAGCTCCAGCAGGACCAGCTCCAGCAGCCCCAGCAGCACCAGTACCGCCTGTACGAGCACCTTCGGGACCAGTAGCAACAGTAGTACCTCCAGCTTTAGCAGCACGGCTCCAACGCCGGGCAAAGCACTCGCGCAGCTCCTGTGGAGAGAGTGGCTTCCGCCTCGACGAAGCACCGCCGACGGCCACACGAGCAGACCAAGCGCCCCCAGGCTCCGCACCCCCAGGCTCCACACCCCAGGCTCCGCACCTCCAGACCCAGCAACCCCAGGCTCAGCACCCCCCGGCTCAGCACCCCCTGTCTCAGCACCCCCAGACTCTGCACCTCCAGACCCGGCACCCGCAGGCTCAGCACATCTAGCAGCACCAGAGTCAACAGCTACCTCGACCGGCTCGACTGCGTCTACCTGGGACACACCTGAAGGGGCAGGACCCTGAGGGGGGAGGGGGTCTATAGGGGGAGGACCTGACGCAAGGAAGAGCGGCGGCAGGGGAAGGGGCGCAGTGCGGTAGGGGAAGAGACGGTAGTAAGGCACCGACTCGTCAAAGGTGACGTCCTGGGAGGACAGAACACGACGCGAGGTGGGGTGGTAAAAGTGCCAACCAGGCGCGTCAGGGGGGAAGCCAAAGAAGACGCAGGGAACAGCACGGGGGGACAGCTTGTCCGCAGACAAGTCGCGGACAAACGCCCGAGATCCCCAGACCCGAAACGCAGAGGCATCGCCAACCTTCCCCGTCCACCGCAAGGTGGGGGAGGTCTCTGGCAAGGAGACCCGGGGCTGAAGGTTGAGCTGATGAGCGGCGTACTAAACCGCAAACGGCCACAGAAAATGGGGGGCAGCCGCATGCATCATGGACGTACGAGCGACGTCCATGACCATGCCAATGCGGCGCTCAGCAATCCCATTTTGCTGTGGAGAGGCCGGAAGCGTGAAGGTCTGGCGAATTCCCTGTGCACGACAGAAGGCTCCTAGACAGGCAGAGGAAAACTCTTCGCCTCTGTTCGAGTGCAGACGCAGTATAGGAAAATCCGAGCCGAAACTCTCCCTGAGCTGGAGACGAGCTGCGCGGATCCAGTCGATCAACACCTCAGTGATATCACCCTTGCTGCGCAACGGGAAGACTGTGGTGTAGCGCGAGTAGTCGTCAACCACCAACAGGAAGTAACGCTCATGCCCCTGCCCACGGACGCGGGCGGGGCCTCACACGTCCATGTGGAGGGTCTGTAGTGGAGCCTCTGTAGGAGGAAACTCGGAGGAGTGAGGGGCGGCGCGCTGTCGCCCCTCGACGCAGGGGACGCAGGTAGGGCCAGGCACCGAAGGTAGGGGAGAGAGAGACCGAGGGAGACCAGAGACAAGGACACGGGAGGCCATGCCTTGGAGACGAGGCAGGGAGGGGTGACTAAGGCGGTGGTGCCAAAGGAGAGTCTGATGGGACAGGAGACGAGACGAGCAGGGAGCAGACTCAGGACCAGACCTGGACGCTGCAGCAAACACCTGACTCGACGCAGCTACCTGGCCAGACTCAGCAGCCGGAGGAGACTCAGTAGTAAGGGTGTACAGGCTCGACCCTGGCCGACGGGTGAACGTGGCCAAGTGTCGGCCTGTCCGAGCACACGTGCAGTGAGTCACCCGCTGACTCGCAGGAGTGAACTGGTCAACCCCCCTATCATGTAGGTCCGCTCCACTCACCAATTTCGTAGAGAACGAGGGGAGGTAGAGACCTGTCAGGGTGCCAGAGGGGGCTGCCGAGCACGGTAAGACAATGGAGAAGCTAGCAAGGACAGGACCCCCAGAGGGGTCCGCTAGGGAGACTGCAACTGGCCGACTAAGCGGCGTAAGCATGGTGGGGACTCGAAAGAAGGAGCGGGACGCACGCGAGTCAAGGGTGAAGGTGTGTAAGGCCTGAGCTGACGTAGTACCTGTGAGAGCCGACTCACCAGCACCTGGGGCAGCAGACGCACTAGCA